TAATGATATAACATAAGTACTAAGACTTTTTTTTATCAAATAAGGTTTTTTTCATTTAATATATCTTTTTTTCATCGGTCGTCTGCAGTTCACTCGCTAACTAACAGAATCAGAAATGCTGCCTTAAGTTAAGTTTAGCCTTAGAACATACTCCTCAAGGTTTAGTGCATTCTGCTATTGATAATAAGACGGCAACCTAAGTAGGTTTTAAAAGTTTGTGAATAAAATCCTATCCATTTCAATTACGTAGGTAAGTAATGCAATCAAACTGCATTTTAGATTCAACTCAAACCTTATCCATTAAGTTAAGGTTAACCTAGAACAAGTAGACTCAGTTCTGATGAAGAGCGGATGAAACTCAGCCAATGGACACAAGAATAGGCAATAGGAAGGAGCTTTCCCGAATTTGGTCTGCATAAGTGACAAATTTTAGTGAGTTTAATATTGAACTCTCAGTCGACTATGTGCCAACTGAGCTTATGGACCCTTCATCAAGTATTGAACACTAAATACTGTAGGTCAATAAGTGGGAACCTACGGCTTCAAAGAGCTAGCCCACTTATAATAATGCTGCTAAGGGCCCATAACAAAAGGAATACGCTTAGATAACCAAGAAGTGAAGATCAAGACGTACGGTACGAGCAGACACAAAATTGGGCTCACAGGTCTACATCGATTGTACCAAGGCAGTGGAAGAATGGTGAGACAATCAGAATGCTGAGGTAGAGGTAGATAATCTTAACTTCAAAATATAGCCTAAAACAGTATAAACTTTTTAAGGAAGGCGGTGAAGCGAGGAAGTGCTGTGTCATGTAAAGTTGTTTTGTGCAAAGTGTGTCTGTTGACATTAATTGCCTAGACGGCCGTGTTGCCTAGCCTAGGTATGGCCTGTCAAGTGTTTTGTTAAAATCTGTGTCTAATGATGTCACAGTACTATGTTTATTTGTTCATACAACAATCTGTGTTTAATGTGTTTTTCACCGTCAAAGAATGTAGGCCTACGGTAGAAAGTTTAAACTAAGAAAGGTAGGCCTTAATATAACCCTAACTTAGTGTACCTAAATAGACCTAAAAAAGTAATGTAGCCTATAACTTTCTTTTAGCTACTAGATCTGTGTCCTTATAGTAGGCCTACTTAGATTAAGTTACCCATCTTCAGGGGAACAGTTTCGCAGAGAACCTAGCCTACGATAATTTATCAGATGAAATATTTTTGTTTAACTTAACATTTCCCAAAAATTGTCTTGCTCGGTAGAACTTTTACCAAACGAAATTCGACTGACTACAACAGTTCCTACAGATTTAATCATTTATTGATCTCATAGGCCTATCTATCAATGAAGTGAAAAATTGGAATATTTTAAAGAAAATGTCAAGATGGGGTTCACCAGTTAATTAATAATTAAAAAAGTAAGCCATAGATAAGTTAGGCCTACACCCAATGTTATCGTAGGCTAACTTAAGTACTTTAATACTTTTTTTTAATGGTCCTTTACTTATGCTAAAAAAATTGGTTGGCAACCATATGACACAAAAACAACATTGATTGTGAAATGCCTACAATAAACAACACTCTACAAACTAAACAAATCAAAACTATTTTTTTTACTGATGCGTTAATTTAGTTAAAGTTTTTTCATTTTCTCTGTCAATGGTTACTATCTTTTTTAGGCTTGGATTTTATAAGAATAAAGTGTGGATAACATAAAATGTTGGTTTGTCTCTTAACACAAATTTTACCAATTTCATATTCCATATCTGGTCAGATCTGGATGCCAGATACGATCAGATCTGGATGCCAGATACGATCAGATCTGTGATGCCAGATCTGAACTAATTCCATATCCGGTTAGATATGGGTGCCAGATCTGGAATATGTCCAAATATGTCATCCCAGATCTGGCCAGATATAGAATCCAGATCTGAGACCAGTCCACTTTTCCATAAGGATTACTAACACCATTTTATGGCATCAAACTATTGAATATTATTCATAAGAATTTCGAATTAACCACAGTACTCAGATTGCCATTCGCGATAGACCTAGGTTACCCTGGCATTACTTGCTCTAGCTTTTATAATTAACATTATTTATTCAATTTATGATAGGGCCAGGGGCCATCACATAAGGTTTAAAATCTTGTAAATTTTATGTTTTTTTTATTTGTATGGTTGATATAGGGGATAGGCTAGAGTCTTACTGTTATTCAGTGCTCGATTTGGGGGGAATGCAGTGGAACGGAGTTCCGGTACCTCTCTTTCAGAAAGATAAAAATATTTGCATAAATAGGTACCTACATAAATAGATATTTCAGTTAAAAAAGGTAGCCTTAAAAAAAACTTGAAATGAATGATGAACGGTTTGCTGAATATAAGAAAGAATGGTATAAATTTTAATAATTCTCTCAATGCACCGTAACAACGTGGTTACAACGAGGTTTTTACCAAAAAGTTTGCCGAAATCTTTAACAGGGTTGGCACTGATTTTGGAAAATGAAATTCCCTGACTTTTCCAGGTTTTCCAGACTGATATTTCCAGGTTTTTCCAGGTATACCGTAAGACAATATCGAATAGTCAGAATCAAGAATTATTAGAAAAATGTAGGCCTAAATAGTTTACTCATAAAACCAATAAGAAAAGAATTAAACATCTGGAATCTGGAAAATTAAGAGTACCAACTAACTTAACCTAACACTTTATGTTCTACTTGGCCTTGATTTGACACTAGCAGATAGACGATACGGTGCTTCTGATACTGATATATATCAATATTTTGCTTGCGATATCATCGGTTTATATCGGAAGAAACATGTGATATTGGAAAAATAACTACCATGCTTGTACCGGAGACAAAAAGTAGTACCAAACTAAACTATTAAATGTTTTAACTAACAGGATAAATTTTTTTTATAAACTCCTACAAGTGCAGTTTTTTTAGTTTATTAAAGGTTGAATCAGTATTGGTATATATTCAATGATAAATAGTATTCAGTATCGTATTGAAATTGAAACAATGAATGTAGGCCTATTCTTCCGCGCATCGCGCAAGCGGTTGTGTTGGCAACGCTGGTCATCACTGCCACTGTCGCCGCACAAACTTGCGGCAGGCCGCAGAGGCAGGGTAAGGGGCACCAAAGACTAAAGACAGATTATATATGATAGCCTACATGGAATTGTCTTCGTTCATTCTCATACGCGACTTCGGAGCGTACTCCTAGTATATTCTTGTTCAGAAATATATATATAACATATTTGTACCATTTATTGTTATATCATAAAGAAAAAAAAATACGAACAGCTTTGAATAACTTATTTTCTTTTAAGACAAAAATAATCTTTTCTTTTTCAACTCATATAAAATATATGAAACCGTTATTACTGTGCACTAAAGTATAATATATCACATAACTAGGCCTATATATTATTACCTTTAGGCTGCTAATGTAACAGTCTTGGCTTATTACATAGTGATATTTGATATTTTTTTCTGTAGCCTATTTCAAATAATTAGTGAACATTTATCGATATTTTCTAACTTTGTAATATTTATTTTTTAAGATGGGGTGAACATTTTTTTTCAAATCAAACATAAATTTTATTTCTACATGGAGAAATAAAATGTCTACATTTTGTATAGCCTAGATCTTAGATTTTATGTTCATAACTTAAGTTAATTCTGTAGAAAAATATCACAACTCTACTTAGCGTTCCAACTTTAAGTAAAAAATATCTAGAAAAAATTGTACACAGATTTTAATTTATTTAATCGAAGAGGATACACGTCTGGTAACCAAACGTGGATTAAGGCGTCCGGTAGTTACCAGGTTGTGGGGGCCCGGAACACCATTACCACAACGATATCAAATCAATCAAATCAAAACTCTTTATTCCCAGAAGACAATACAATTAATAATTATACAGTATGAAATACAGTAAGTGATTGCATAGGCATCGTCAACTTAATGCTAAATAAAAACTATTAAGTTACCATAATGATATTTACAGTTGTATATTATTATTAGGCCTATTTACATTTTTCACTAAATACATTAATAATAAAAATATACACAAATATTAAATTATGTAGGCCTACATACAAAGGAAGGTTCAAAATGTATGTTTATGGTACTCTTCTGTTGAATAAAAACAATTTTCTAGCAACATTTTTCTTGCTAGATATGATGTACAGCCATCTGTGTTCCTGGTGTAGTGGATAGAGTACTCGGCTGTGTACAGAAGGTAACTTATCCTAGATCGAATCCCATCGGTGACACTAACTTTTAGCCAAAGATTTTGCTTAGAATGCCATTTCTACTTAACTGTAGGCCTACATCTTTTGTTAGAGTTTGAGGCATTTATAATTTTATTTTATGAACATAATTTAACCTTAATTCGATTGTTTCATTATCAGCAAGTTTGGTTTAGTTAGGTTAGGTTACCTTAAGACAGTAACTGCCGGACGCCCAATCCGCGTCCGGTACGGTAACCGGACTCATATCCCTCTGCCTTATTTATTTATTCAAAATCTCCTTTTTCTCTACAAAATAATTAAGCTATGCAAGTTTATATGACTAGGTTATCATAGGTAATTTAAACACGGCTGCACTTTACTTGACGTCCTACACTCATTCGATTGTTTTTTCGATTCAATATTTTCATTCGATTGTTTCATTCGATATATCGTTTGGTTAGTTAGGTTAGGTTAACCTTACCTAACTAACCAAACAATATATCGAATGAAGCAATCGATTAATCGATATATCGATCAATATTTTCATTCGAATAAGTGTAGGACGTCAAGTAAAGTGCAGCCTTAAACACTGAAAATTTTTAAAAAGAACTCTTGCGAAATCACAAAAATGGCAGGGACATTAATCTATGCCACTAGGGCAGTCCTAGGGTTAGGCCTAAGTTGTTTGAAGTTAGGCTAGATTAGGAAGGTAAAGTTTAGGTTAACTTATAGACTAGTAAACCAACTCATTAACTTATGTTAACTTACTTCCAGACTGGTTTTGCACAATTGAAATAGTGGGGGAGACACAACAAAATAACAATTCCAAAAATGCTTGCAATATTAAACAAAATAAGCGCGGCTTTTTTAAAGAGGTCCCACTCCCACTGTGACTGTAATCTGTTTCTGTACTACTTGTCTGTCAATGAGATAGTGGATACTCGGATCTCGGATAGTCTAGTCTAAAAAAAGTCTAACCTAGAGATGGGTCGCTGCAGCTGGAACTACATTTATCCACCGTTCCGAGAGTGGAACTCGTTCCACCGTTCCAAGCGGAACCACAATCCGGTTCCAGTTCCACTGGAACTACTTTTTCAGCTGCAGCTCGGTGGAACGATTTGAATGTAGTTCCGCACAAACAGCTGCAGCCTTTTTGTAAATTTTTAAAGATAAGTTCCGGAGTAACTGGATTTGTAAAACACATACAGTTACAACAAAACAGCTGCAGCTGGTTTATTAATACTGTACTCTCACTAAAATTAAGTTCTAGCCTGTGCAGCTGATGCGTTTTGACTTAGGCCTATTTGGTCTATTGTAAACAAAGGTTTGATTACCGGATATGGTTGACATCAGCGAACACATAACAAAATAGAAGCGCTACTCGGAGCGCAGGAGCGTGGCAGTCTGACTAGCCGACGAAACGGACAAAGATGGCGGCGCTAGCCTAGTCCCGGCGTCTGCAACGCGCTGGCCGTCTGCTATGCTTCGAGTCAGCGTTGTTTACATAGGCTTTGTTGAAATGTAATAGTATATTACGTTACTAGTCCTGAAAATAAGTGTTTACCGGACGAGTGTGGTCGTTCCCGTGCGAGACGAAGTCGAGTACGGGATTACCATACGAGTCCGGTACACACATTTTGGACGAGTTATGTACGATAGTTTACGCCATACTACTTAATCCGTACAAATCCTTATATATTTCCACCAACTAAAGGACTAAAAATCACTAGTCATGAGAGGTTATGTTTTTGTTTATAACCACTAATTGCCACGAAAATACAGTATAATCAGCTGATTGGTGTCCGGTAAAACTCATTGCAGAACAGTATTACGCAATGAAACCCCATTTGAATAAGCTGGTGGCAAACAGCTGTTTTCTGGACTAAATCCATGCGTGGAAAGTTCATCAAAATAATGTAGTGTGGCGTAAAAATACTTTTGTATAAAAATTACTTAGGTTTTTCTGGAAGTACATTGTCGTATTAGTATATTGTTGGAAATGTCTTAAAGTAAATCGATTGTTTTTACCGTAGTAAATCGATCTTTTTATCGCGGGAGAAATTTTTGTTTACAAATATATATCTGTTTAAAAAACATCTTTGTTCACATTATAAATCTGTCATATTAGTGTTATTTTATTTCTTGTGTCACGACAAACACGATGGCATTTTGAACGACATTTTTAGCGTCTTATTAACGATGTTAGCATACGTTAAAAAAAAAAAAAAAAAACATCACCATAAAGACTATTGTGAGTTAAAATTTTAAAATGCATGGAACTGTTAACAATAAACCTACCAATAAGCCATAACAATTTCAGAAAGATTGGCTGAGTAGTTTGTTTACAATTAAATTTTAAACTTCAATGTTAGTGCAGAGTTTCTTAAAAATCGGTACTTTTTAGGATCTTTCAACTATATACATTTTTCTGGTAAACGGATTTTTTTTAAATTGTTACCACGTAAAATGTATTTAACCCAGATTATATTTAATTTTTGTCTCAAGAAAATCTAATAATTCATCTCAAGAGATATTTAGGCTCAAACTCGAGTGCACATATTTAATTCCCCGACAGTAGTCCCGGCGTGTGCAGCGCGCTAGTCGTCTGCTATGCTTGATGAGAATAGTGAAGATATAAAGTTAAATGATTTTAGTGTAAGGAAAACAATGTAATTGAGGACTTGACGAACAAAGTACTTGGACAATGTGTAGGTGTAAATTTGTTTCCAAATAGTACACATTTCTCAGGATATGAAACAATATGGACAAAAATCATTTTTGTTTAGTACCTAATTAAAATTATTGCTAAAAAATATTCCAATGTTAGAGTTCGCTACTACTGTAAAATAAGTAACGAAAGTCTTCACAAAAATAAAATCAGGCAACATCTCAATAAAACTGTAATTTTTCTGGGACAATAAATTGAGTGTAATTTTACAAATATATTTAGGAAGTTTAATTTAACTTACAGAATTGTCTTTAGATTATCTTGAATGATATTGAAAGCTAATTAGTCCTTAAAAATTTGTGCTAAACGGTTGAAAATTCTACATAGACAATATATTTGAAAATGTCTTTAATATATACAATATTACAGTACAACAGTATAAAACATTAAAACACTGCACGCTAAATGTATAGAAGACGGCCGGCGGCGCAGCGGGCGTGGCGCGGAGCAGCGGCAATGGATCCCTTTTGTACCTGATTTTTTAGAAAACCGAACATGATAAAATTTTTTGGTGAATCGTATAGCTAAATTTGGTTTTTTATCCACAACTTTCCCGCTGACGAAATTTCTCTGACCAAAAAATAAAAAATTTCCTCGCAATACAACTTTTTCATGTCTGAAATTGAAAAATTAAACTACATAAGTATTAAACATATTTATAACTCAATTACTATCGTAACTAATAGTTTTATATTAACACCATCGTTTTCCTCAATATCATATCTACAAGTGTGCAAAATTTCAGAATTGTTTGTCAACTATTAATGTTGTTTATGATCGTGTATTTGTCGCGGGGGTTTTAATGCGAACTGTGCTTGCGGGTCTTGGATTCAGGCTGTATGACGGACCAAGATGGCGGATTTGGCCACACTTTCAGTGCATTTGGTTAAACGCCGTGTCCTCTCTATTATTATTATTATTATGTGCTCGCTGGTTGACATGCCTTAAAAGAAATTAATCATTTTCTGTTTGTTTAATTTTTTCAGACAGGAATTAAATAAAAGTACATCAGTCCCAGCTAAGTCGTGCTCAAAATATATACAAATTTATCTCTTCCTCAGTAATCAGTACCGTAATAATTGTTTGTGTTTAACAATTATTACGTGCAAATACGTCACAAAGTCACGTGAGCATGTTTAGTTATTTAGTTATAGAATTTTTTACAGTAAGGAATTTTTGTTATTAAGATGTAATAAATTTATTTTTCTTGTACTGACTTAGCTAATGCAAGTATTGTCAATTTGGCCCAATAAATGACTTATTGACTTATTATTATTAACTTAATTCAGGATTTTTTCGCTATTAACTTTAGAATTTTATATTAAGAGTTAGTGTGAGTGGTGTTTGAATAATATTATTTTTATAATATAAAAAAATGTATAATATGAATAAATGCATAATATGAAGAACCTCTTAAATAATTTATACCGGCCTTGTCACGTATTATTTTCAGACCCTAGATAGAAAAACTAAAATAATTAATTAATTACTTGTACAACATTTCCAAAACACGATATTGATTTCTTTACAGCCGCTATTTAGCATTATTTAAAACAGTATTCTAATTCAAGAACATCTTAAACTAATCCGTCTCAAATTATGGTAATAAACTGAGATTTTGTTCATCCGCCCTTTTGCCTCGTTCCACTACAGCCATAGCTCCCCGCTGCAGCGGGAAAACCAGCTGCAGCGGACAAAACTAGCTGCAGCTGGAACTGCTTTTGACAAACAGAATATTTCTATCATTTCGGTTTTACAAATACAGATTTGTTTTTATATTTTTGAAATTGGTGCTTTTTCACATACATTAAATCGCATTTTGAAATACCTGTCATTTTGGCTAGGGGTGAGATATCCACCAAGGGTTTGGGTCATTATGTTTCTTTTGATAAATCCTTCAAAATGAGGGGTCACTCAATAGGGGTTGCTATTTGAAAACAATAAGTCACCCCTACCCCCACCTACCCTGTTAGGGGGGTTTACAATATTTTTGATGTAAAAAAACGGAACCTTTGTTAACATTCAATGCCACAAACATAATATTTTAATCTATTTCGGTTTAAAAAATACAGATATATTTCAAGACTTTATTTACACACTTTATATGAATTTGAACGGTTGGTGATTTTTGACTCTAGGGACCTCAAAACGAAAAATAAATCGGTCCCAGGTCCAGGTGTTACGATAAGTACTACGGTATTAGCTTATTCTATGTATGGGAAATTCGCTAAAACACAGCAATTTTGAAACAGGATCATATTTTTTAATGATTATTTTTCCTTAAATACATTATGATGTATTAAAACTGTATACCAAGTTTCATAAAGATATCTTAAATAGTTTTCGAGAAATATCTCATTAAAAGCGCGTTCATTTAAATTTAAATAGAATCCCATGGCGCCACTCGAGGAGGAAACGCTTCGCGTCTTCCGCTACAGTGGCGCGGCAATACAGCCGCATCATGAAACAGCGCCTAGCGCAGATCCAGCTGACCGTCTGCATTAAAGTATTATATTGTCTGTGGTATAGATTCCGTTGCACATTGCAACGTGCTTGCAATTATACAGGTCTTATAATAATAATGTTTCATTTTTGAAATACGAATGGAATTAATAATAAATAAAAGTTTTTTCTCCCACTGGTAGCTACGCGCCAGTTCTGGTTACGATAATTATAAATCCCTGTGTTGTGAGGGAAACGCCACCGAGCGTCCTTACTCGATAATGGGGGCGAAAGGTGCCGAATTACCCACCCGGCCTTGGCGCGGGGATTTCTAAAGCGTCCGTCCGCGCGAACCACCATTTTGAGGGTGTCCGCGTCAAACACGTCCGGGCTAAACACGGAGCCGACGATACAACCATAATTGCCCCCATGACAAAAGACGCAAATCAAATTGAAAACATAATACAATCAGCCAGTAATATAAGCCAAGACATGAATTTAACCATAAATAAAACTAAAACTGTGCACATTGAATTCAAAGTTAAAAACAGAACTAACGGTAATGAAGAAGCCGCTAGCCCACAAACTGAAAACCACATCTACAGAGGAAACCATACAAAATTCCTGGGAGTTACCCTTGATTCAAATTTAAACTGGCAAAAGCACCTAGAAATTCTACACTCAAAACTATCATCGGCAATTTTTGCAATCAGAAGAATCAGAGAAATCACAAATACATCAATAGCAATAACGGCCTACCATGCACTCTTCTCATCTCATCTCAAATATGGACTTATAGCCTGGGGAGGAGCAGACGAAACCCACCTACAAAAAATCATCACACTCCAAAAAAAAGCTGTCCGAATGAGCAAGGGTCGAAAATGAAGAACACTGCAAGCCACTATTTATCCAATATAAGATCCTTACTCTAACCTCCCAATACATCCTTGACACAATCATCGCCATCAAATCAGATCCTCCACAAACCAGACAAGAATGCCATCAATACAATATTAGGTCAGGGACAAATCTCAACAAAGGCCAACACAGACTACACAGAACGTAAAACCCCTACATACATGGGAACAACTCTCTATAGCTCTCTTCCTCAAAACATAAAATCGATAAACGAAACAAAAAATTCATCACTAGCCTTAAAAAATACCTCCTGAACAGGCCATATACTACAATTTAAAGGAGTTCTACAAAGACCACAACAATGTAACACACCTCTAAAATAAATAAAACACACACACTCACACATAAACACACACACATAAATACAACAAACCCCTCCAAGAAATTGACAACTCTCCGGTCTCCACGACTGCGAAGAGGAGCGCCGATGTGCCGATGTAAGATGTAAGATGTAAGACAAACAGACATACAGACAGAAATTGTGATAAGGCTCGTTTCAGCTTTCTTAGGCTATGAAACGTAAAAATAACCAAAAACTGCATGATTCTAAGCAATGTACAGACAAATCTGTAATTTTATTTATATAGATTAAACGGCTACTGTTCTGTACTTTGTTCCCGCGTAATTTAAAACAGGCTCGGTGATGACAGAAACCCGCGGTCAGATGTTCAGTTCGGATTTCAATTCCACTGTCCCGATTCTAGACAGACAAAGACAAAGGTGGGCGGTGACGGTCTGACGGCAAGGTCTCGTCATCTCTATTCGTACAGTCAGTGTTGCCACTTTTAGGGTAATTACCCTTTTTTAGGGTAATTTACCGGTCTTAGGGTAAAGTTTAGGGTAATGGTAGATTTAGGGTAATTTTAGGGTAAAACTAAAAGTTAGCATAACAATGGAAATTTTACTAAAAAAATGAAAAAACTTCAAAATTTGGCAAAAAACGTTCATTACATACTATGGCCAAACCATCATATTCGATTCAACCGGTTTAAATCGATTGCTATGATGAATTTTTCATAATAAGTTACCGTATCCTAATCGATCTTATCAATAGTTGGGAATTATCTGTTGTAGAATGTATTCGATTCTATAACACTTTATAGGCCTAACAACATATGAAATATTATTCATTACTGGGTTTGATATTTAATTATGTGGCTGAATTGATTTAAACTAGATTATTTTACAAATTGTGTCAAGAAATTACTACTATATGTATAGATTAAAGCTTTGGTGGTACCGTACTGTAATTTAAAGATATGATTGTCCAAAAACAGTAGTAATGGGTCGATACAGTAAAAAAATACGATAGTTCTTGATTCGATATTTTTCGTTATACCGGTACGATAGTTGATAGAGCTGATCAATATCAACATTTTTGTTCTTCTTTCGGGTGGTTTTTTAGAATCGAGTATAATTTTACGTAAATTGATTAATATTGGAACTTCATTTAGTATAATTAACCACCTTAAGTAGGATTTATATGATTTTAACAATGTTTTATAGCATTAAACGCAAACATTAACATTTAGGGTAATTTTTAGGGTAACTCAAAGTAGATTTAGGGTAATTTAGGGTAATTTTAGCCCGCCTTTAGGGTAAAATCGCAACAACGCGGTGGCAACACTGCGTACAGTACATACATGAGTGAGTACAACCATACGTCCATACAACCGTTGACTGTGACCGTGACCGGTACAACGCTGGGTACAACTGAGACTGAGAAGAGAAGAGAACTGACCAGTGACCACTGACCAGTACGAGCACAGACACCGACCGGTACCGTGTATGGGTGTGTGTGTGCCTTTCCCCTTTACAGTACGTTGGTTGTGTCAGTTCAGTTTATTATACAAATCAGTAATCTTGCCTTGCATTGAATTTGAACGGCAAGACTTCTCTGATGTCATTATTTTGATAACGCTTTAGACTTAAGGTAAGAGTATGCGTATTATAGGCTTAGTTTAGGTTATGTAGCCTACTATTATATCCCGGTGTTTACACATAGCCTAAGTTAACTATTGTTGTAAGTTAAATTGAATACTTTCTACTAGGTCTTTAACTTTTCATAACCAGGAGGATCATATATAATTTAAAACTGGGCTACCCTAATATCGATTGAAACTACAGTATCGATTCGATTAATAAACCTTCATGCGATTTTTTCACCATCAGCAAGTTTGGTTGGATAGGTTAAGTAGGTTATGATAGTTAAATTTTATAATAGACTAGCAGAGTACCCGTTCTTCGTACGGGGTTGGCAAACAAGTATAAAATGCTTATTGCGGTTATGCTCGATCTTTGCTTTTGCAATGTGAGAAGACACGGTTTAAGAAAATTTGCTTCCTCAAATTTACGGTATGCTATAAGTTAGTACATCTACCATAGCCATAATGTTCTACCATTTCACCTACACAATAGAGAAAGATAGATTATTAAAAATTCACAAATTATTCATGAAATTAAAACATAACCATACTGTAACTTAAGCAATCCTACTTTGACAGTTCTCATTGCGTATCACAGTGTTTTGTTGCTGCTTAGTTCGAATTAGCTGATTTCATAAAAAATTAAAAAAATAATATTTTAGTGCTGCACCCTGTTGGTAAATCTTATAAATTTTTAATTGCATATCAAGTAGAACGAACTCTTTTAGTTGAAACAGCTGGTTAAATTCTTTAATTCCCTTTAAATATGAATAGGCCCTACTCATAAGGTTAACATGGGGAGCTGCAGAGCCACTGGGACGGAGCCCGAAAGGATTTTTCAGATAAGAATATGCCTATATGTTAATCGGGAATTTGAGCTATCATCATGCCAAATTTCAACCCAATCCGACCAGTATTTTTCATGTTTACTTGTCACAAACATACATACATCCATACATCCAAACTTTCTCATTTATAATATTACTAGCTGTAACCCGCGGGCTTTGCCCCGTTTAACTTCTTAATTTTCAAGATTATCTCGTTCGCATGGCTCAATCACGTTCTGGTTGAAGTTTGTTCGCTACGCTCACTCACCTTTAGGTATTTTAAAATATCCTATTGTTAAAATAAAGCTATTGTTGTACACCTTGTCACAGAAAACGTACTACTATAACCCAGAATGCCAACCGCATGGTAAAAAGCATTAAGTGTTTTGAGAGAGCTTTGCCTGTCAATCCGTAGGCAGCGCCACCAGTGTTGCTATGCTATTGCATGGCAATGCTGGTGGCGCTGCCTACGGATTGACAAGGCAAAGCTCTCTCAAACCGCTTAATGCTTTTTACCATGCGGTTGGCATTCTAGTGTTATAGTAGTACGTTTTCTGTGACCTTGTGTACAAACAAAGCTATTAGGCCTGTAACCTATGCACAAAACAATACACCTCAATGTTTACACACTAGATAACCCGTTGCTCGAAATCGAGCAAAGCTGTAACTTGTAATAAAATAATGAAGAACAAAAAAAAAATTTACAGCAAAACCTCAATCTTAGTCACTCTAAAGTTATTTCTATGACTGATTATAGAAATGTGAAAAATATTATGTTGAAAAAAAGCAAATATTATCTACAATGCGATATCAAGTAGGCCTAATTTTTAGATGTCTACTTAGGCCTACAGTATTTTTCACACTGAATCCAAAGATGCAATCAGTTTTTGTTGGAGAGATTCATAAGTGGCCGTAAAACGAAGGTTAAAATTACGAATCTAAGGTTCATTAAGCTATACTGATATGGCGTGATCTGGACGGGTCCGAACGTATGTGGACTGAGTGAGGAGGAGAGCAAACAGCTGTTTATACTCGACTTAATGCGGAATGAAATAAATTACAGTAGTTTTGAAACCAAATAATCAGTTCTTATTTAGGCATGTGAGGAAGGTAGGTCGGGTTTATGCGGATTCGTGACTGTTTAAGTGTTTTGAAGTGAGGTTAGATTAGGAAGGTAAAGGTTAGGTTATAATGAACGGACTCATTAATTTATGCTACTTCCTGAGTGTTTTTGCACAATTAAATAGTGGGTGAAACACAATGCAGATTTTTATGAACACCCTCTTTATTTATGAACAAGGCCTAGTTAATAGATGTTTAAATAAAAATATAAAATTCTGGCTTTGTTCTGGAAGTAATAAGTCCTGCAGTCTGTGGTTAAACTTAAAAACTACTTGAATAAAAAAAAAATTTAGTAATTTCTCGTTGAAATCGCCGAATTTTCTAGCTGACACAGTGTTTAGTCCGGACACATCAGCATACCGTACGGGATGTCTTTTACCACGTTGTCTTCATCGACCCACACCCAAGCATCTGCCATCTTTTTTCTTTTTTTTTCTGTTTCACAACCTGTGGTTCATTTGTTCCAAGTCCTCTTTCTCCACCCCGACCTTGTCGTGTTCCCCGACCTCGTACTGATCCCCGACCTCGTACTGATCCCCGACCTCATCCTGTTCCCCGACCTTGTACTAATCCCCTACCTCTTCCTCTGCTTGGCTGGGTCCCTACTGTACCCCTTGGTCTATCACCCTGACCCTGCTCTTCTTCAAATTCATCCCTGTCACTGACATCCATTGGTTGTGGGGCTTCAGTTTGTTGAATTTGTTCTACATTTTGGTCGTCTAAGGTTAGGTCTAGATCATAACCTATCACTTGGTCCAGATTAGGTATAGGAAAATCGATCACATACCTGAATTCATCTAGGCCTACAATATCTTCCTCCATTTCCATTGGATCATGTTCAATTTCATCCCGAATATCTGCCCGGCCAATAGTGTCAAACAAATCATCATCACTGTCGTTCTCAGAGTCCAATTCCGAATCACATTCCTGGAGGAGTTTGTCTATTTCACTCGAAAATACACGGTCAAACGTACTTTTTGAAGGTCCCGCCATCTAGAAAACGATGAAATAAAAACTAACAATACACATACAATCACTCAAAAACAGTAGTAACTCACTATTAAACAGTAGTAACGTATCAAAACATGACGTAGTAACACACGTAGTACAACCTCGAACGCATCAAAACAATAGAACTACTATTAGTCATCTGTTTTACAGGACTACCAAATAATCACTACATAATAACATAATAACACTACAATATTGTAAAACAGATGCGAATTTGTCAAAGAGTGTCAAAGATAACATTTCGGTTTCGGAAAGAACAACCGAGATAAATATATTCATATATAGTAAGTTATACTGTAACAAAATCAAAATGTGACCCAAATTATTTTTGGAAAAACAAAACTTTGTAGGGTATTTTTGACAGTAATATATTTTTTTCCTACAGTCACCCGACAAAGTTGGCTTCCTTGTACTGTTTATAGTACAGAAAGCTGCTAATTGCTGCATATTTATACTTTGCCGTACGGTTTATACTTTGCCGTACGGTTTATACTTTGCCGCACATCAGGATTCCAACGAAACAACACAAAACAGCGTGGTTCTATTATGCACGTAATCCGTGTACGCTTGGAAATAGGTTGGCAACACTTAAAGATAATAATACTATGAGCAGCTGATTGACTATTATAACTACGATTTAACCTGTCATTTTGTGTTTATAGTTTCGGTATTTCTGAACTTTCTGGACTTTTCTTTTAAACGTTTTTAAAACATTCCTACGATCTTAATAAACAAGAAAATACCTTTAAAGCATTTTTTTAGGCGCGGAAACCATTTCAAATTACAAAAACATACGGAACTATATTCTCAAAACGCGGAGCACATTTTTTGCCGAGGAAAAATAGCGGAGTGATACGGACCGCGGGTACTACTTTCTCTAGGGCACCATTTGTGTTGCCAGCTGAACCTAAAAACGTGTTGTATAGTGTTTGAAAGACTAATTATTTATATGCTTTATAGTGACTGTAGGAAAAATATAATGTGTAACACGAGTGAAAAAGGCCTTTGCTGCACTCGAGATCATTCCGCACGAGCCGCGAGAGTAAACATTGCTCTCGTGTGCAGCAAAGTGCCACTTTCACCACTAGTTACACAGATAAATATTTCCTTCAATCAATCAATCAATCAATCAATTTATTTATTGAACTATAATGAATACATGCATATTTTTTTTTTTGTCCTAGGACGCTAGGCATAAGCCTGGGATTGTTTTTCACATTACTTCAGGCTAGACCTAGGGGTTGCGGCATTATCACTTAGATAAAATCCATTGGTGACTTGGCGGGGATCGAACCCGGGACCTCAGGGACTGAAGTCCCGCGCTCTAACCACTACGCCAGCTCGCTCCCCAATATATACATGCATATTACTATTTATTATTTATTAATACATGCATATTATACAATAGGTGCAAAAACCATACAAGGCTTGTCTGCACCATAAAGTAAAAGTAAAGGTAAAAGCACCTGAAAGTAAAAGTCTTTATTTACGTTTAGAAACACTAATTAAAATTATTTTACATGATATTTATTTACTGTAGACAAAAAAAAGTCAAGTCATCATCACAAGATAGTCTCGTGATGAGGCTTTTGGGCTACCATAACCCATCACGAGACAGTCTCGTGATAAGTCTCCAATGGGTTAAAAGTAATCAGATTTACCAACAGGGTGCAGCACAATAATTTTTTTGCATTTATGAAAACAGCTAATTTTAAATAAGCAGCAACCAAAAACTGGGATATACAATGAGAACTGTCAAAGAAGAATTGTTTACAGTTATGTTTATGTTTTGAATTTCATGAATAATTTTTGATATTTTGTTAATTTTTAATAATTTACTTTTCTCTACTGTTTATGTGAAGTTGTGGAACATTAAGGCTATGGTAGATGTGTAATACTATAGTATACCATAAATTTAAAGAAGCAAATTTTATCAAAATGTGTCCTCCCCTATTGCAAACACAAAGCTTGAGTATAACTGCAATACATATTTTATACTTATATGCCAACCCTGTACGAAGGACGGGTACTCTGCTAGTATATATATGTTTGTCCGTTAGCACGATAACTCGAGCAAAAATGATCCGATTTTGATGAAATTCGGGACAAACGTGTAAACCTACGTTTATTCGAACGATTTCGCGATCCAGCATAATGGGAACGGGGGTTTATAGGGGGTTTTATGGGGTAAAAATTGGGTTTTTCCGTTTTTGACCCTAAAAACAAAAAATTTGCAATTTTATTTTAAACTGTTTTGTAGAGCTTAAAAAGAAATAATTTAGTATATTGAAGCGCTGTTGTATGCCTAACGGTCACAGAGAAAATTCAAAAATAGTTTCCCATGTTATTCTTATGGAGAAAATGAAAACTTCTGTTTTAGTTTACTTGTTTATGGATATATATATATAGATAAAATCCAATACTCTTGATGTATGGTCAAAAACACTTTTTACCTTCCCCGTAGCAGCAAACCTAAGCACTCGTTAACTCTTATATTATAGGGAATAAATATGTTTTTTTATTAATAGAAATGTACAAAAGTAATCAGACAAGTTGAAATTCGCTTTGTCTGCAGGTTTGCTGCGGCCGGGGTATTTGAATTTTTAATGTATTTCACCAGTTAGGCCTATACCGGTATATAATTATATAATCCTATATATTTCGGTCTAAGAACCTTCAGAGAAATACCGGCTTTCATTTAAGCTAATATTAGTTTTTCAAATCGGACGAGTTTCGAGCAAACGCAAGGTGAAATACAAACATTAAAATTATTTTTCATAAGGTATTTCTATGAGTAACAATCAATATCTCCAGTATTTTTCAGGTTTTTTTATATTTTTTAGACTCAAAATAAACAGTAGGCCTAAATTATTTAATTTGAGCTATTGATCGTTTGAAACAGTTTTTAAAGCTCAAGATACTTTTTTACTCAATCAAAAATCATGAATTTGATTATTTCTCGGATATTAAATTTATTTTGTCGCTGCGGAGCAGCATGGGTCATCTAGTAATGTATAAATAGCAAACTAAGAAAAACAATACATTCAGGCTACTGGTTTAGTGTTTAGTGGTTAGAGCCATAGGCGGATCTAGGCCCCAAAATTGGGGGGGGGGGGTATGGGGGTACGTATTTTAGGCTATTTGTAAATCAACATAAAAGAAATTACTGATTCAGTGAACACGGTGAACATACTTAAAGGACCTTGTAATCGGCTAATTTATGAATTCCATGTAAGAATTTCACCCTTACACATTATGGAAAATAGCTGACATAAGTAAGGTAAAAGAAAGGAACAGACTGATCCAAACCCTAAATGTGCGTGTACTGTGTACCTAGGATCCTAAATGAATTGGATGGATCCTAACTCAGGTCTTCTCTCAGACGAAGTCAAGAACTTGACTTTGTATATTGAGAGCTCCAACACCTTTTTGGCAATGGTAAGACTGTATTTTTCACCAAATAAAAAGTTAAAATTTAGGGTGACTAGTTTATTTCCATTTAAAAATTCAAAACTAATTCCAGACTTTTAAAGACTAATGCCAAATATTCAAGACTGGATTGTTCAACAATTAGTGATGTGTTGATGGTTACAGACTGGTCGCGCGGAGCAGTCAAAAATCTGTCAGACTGGAAGACCGGTTGTGCGGAGTGGTCAGTTTAGGGTGGTGAACGTTTGCGCGGAGTGGTCGGTTGAATATTAGTCGGTTGAATGATTTTTTATTCCCGTTGTTATAGCTTCCTCTTAAACAAACATATTATCCAACTTCTCAATATACCAAAATGTATGAACTTAATATACTGGTTGTTTGAGTTTCAAATAGGCCTTCAGTTCTCGGGCCCCGAGAGCTCTTTCCCACCGGTTTTTGAAGTTCCAGAAGTAATTATGGAAAACGGGTTGCTGTTCTGTATAAGGTAGCTAACTTAAAACTACTTATTATATGATGGAGTTTTAGAAACGTTTACTCCAATTGAAGATTTAAGTTTCCAAAAATAAAATCGACTGTTATGACGACTGTATGAATACTCATAAGCTTAACATGGCAAACTCCAGAGCCACTGGTGCGGAGCCCAAATGGATTTTTGAGATAAGATGTCTATATGTTAATCGGGAATGTCAGCTATTATAATCCCAACTTTCAGCCCAATCCGACAAGTAGTTAATAAGTGATTGAACTTTAAACAAACAAACACACAAACTTTCACAATTGTAATATTAGTTTGAAGTAACAATCAATATTCAAAATACATCAATATACACTGTAAAGTGAAGTTTTGCAAGAGACGGTCTTTGCGACTTTTTGCTAATTCTCCTTTGGATCGGAGCTCGCCAATTCTTGGATTTTGGCTCTCCTACACCTGAGTATGGGGGTCGAAAGGATTATATACGGTTTGATGAGCAGAGTGACTGCTTCGCGCGACCGGTCTCTACCCTTGGGGGGGGGGGGGGGGGGCCATCAATTTAACCCTCGTCAAAAATATGACCACTCCGCGCAACCGGTAGGTGCCCGTGTTGATACCAAAATGTAGCGATTCTCAATTCTTGACACCAACGCCAATTTTTATAATTTAACCAAATTTTTTAATTCTACCTAAAACCCTGTCTTTATTTCATAAAGTATTTATATGTACGGTAATGGGGTGTTTTTCAAGTAAAGAAAAAAATGCAGCAATAAAAAATTCAAAAACTAGCCAATTTGGATTTTTTTGATTCCAATATAATAATAATAATTAAACGTTATTTTGAGTTTACAATAAATTAAAAAAAATGTTTTAATATTCAATTTAAATAGCAGATACGGGTTTTTCTCTAATAACATTTTTTTTAGAGAATAATATTTGTAATAGAATGCCGTTTATAGCATGTTTCTATCGAGTCTAGTTCGCGAGTTATGAGCGCTTCTTTAGAGCGCGCCCCCCGTACTTTCCCCCCTCCCCCCTAAGTTGTGCACCTGCTGGGAGGGCGGCAACATCGCTTTTGGTCATCTCCAATGTGCCCCCAACAACAATCAAAAGTCAAAATGCGTTACACTTTCAGTGCATACTCAACCCCCTATAGGTGCTGGACTAATTATTGTGTTTTGATGTTTTAGTGATGAAATAAGCTATGCCACCACCACAGCAGCTTAGCATGACAAATTTCAACACTACAATTGAGAGAGTTCCTCCACTTGATCCCTACAGAGTCCACATGGAAGCCCTGGAGATTGCTGGCAAGATGATAGAGAAGCAAATGACGTTGGACAGCAGCTTTCCTCAGCTGACGGACCGCATGAGGATTACAGCTCAAAGTAAGATATACTGGTAAATTTTTCCACCTCCCCCCTCCCCTTCCACACTTTACCACATTTTATCCTTTGAAAATTTCCTCTGTAGATAAGAGCTATTACTGTAGGTGACATGGTAACACCTAGACCCGGGACCGTTTTTGTTTTATTTTCACAATTTATTTTTCAGAGGCCAAATACGCTATTTTTATGAATTTTTACACACAGGGTGTCCAGTCATAAGTGTTAATTAAAATTATCTGTCAAACTAAATCATAATGGTGTTTGAATTTGAGGTTCTCAACTCAAACGCTAAGGAAATAAAAGATAAATGAAGATTTTTTTTAAATAATTTTGTTTTTATGATAAAAGCTTATAGTACTTAAGGAAAATTCCAATCAACTCCATTCCAATTAAATTGAAAGATTAAAAAAAAATTAACACACTTGTTTAGTAGATTCATGTAATGAATAACAACAATTTAGCAAGGATAAGATAACAAAGCCGAGTCCTGAAAAATAAAAACATTCAGTCAGTCACAAATAGACAGTCAACCAGGTATCACTTGATTAGGGATTGCTAAAAAAATGCACTTTATTTATGATTTGTGAAAATGGAATGTGATAGCTGCTCAAAAGGAGTACCAGACGTGAAATCTTAATCGCACCATCCCCAATTATCAGGTTTCTGTCTACTAAGGTCTAGAAACCAAATCAGTTGAGAAGAGGAAGAAAGCAGTATATCCGTCCATCACATGAAGTTGAAGCCATAGCACACTTCAAAGAGTGAATACAAAGAGGATGAGTGGCGCGAGCTTGTAGTCTTGTTAGTGACCAAGGCCGACATATTTCTTAGAGACAGCTGTTAATTAATAGCCCATACAGCCAATGTCAACTAAGGGACCTACAGTTTAAAGTGGGATCCGAAACCACATTTTTGCCTTGTAATTAACGAATTGGTCTTATTATCAGGATACCACTGCGGATCGTCGTAGTACTCACTAGTGTGGACGTTAATCCACACCAGGGAGTATCGCATCCACAGTGCATGCCTATAAATACCTACAGTTCCTGACTTCCTAGTAGCTGGATTACAGGACGACGCCACATACACATACTCAAGGCTGGATACATATAAATGAGTTCGCTAACCAGCAAGCTTAGTATGAAATAAAAAAAAATTTCCAAATTGCATTAAAATATATCCATAAAGAAGCAACATACAACAGTTTATTTTCCATAAAAATAACTTGGGAATTTTAAATTTAAAATTTTTTAAATTACGTAACTGATGGGTATACAACAATGCTTTAATTTACAATTATTTTCTAAGCTCTACAAAATGGTTTGGAAAGAAATTATAAAATTTTGTGTTTTTTAGGGTCAAAAATGGTAAAAATCAATTTCCCACAAAAATCCTACAAAACACAAAGCAATATGAAATAATGCGTGTGGGGGGATAAATCCCTGTTCCCATAGTCCGATCATGCTGGTTTGCAAATTCGTTCGAATAAACTCAAGTTTACATGTTTGTACCAAATTTCATAAGAATCGGATCAGTTTTGCTTGAGTAATCACGCTAACAGACACTCACACACACATATATCTATATAAATAAAATTACAGTTTTGTCTGTATATTGCTTAGAATCATGCAGTTTTTGATTATTTTTACATTTTATAGCCTAAGAAAGCCGAAACGAGTCTTATCTCAATTTCTGTCTGTTTGTCTGTTTGTCCATTCTGTCATTCCGTCTGTGACTACTAACTGTAGTCCCGACGACATCTCTGCAGCAACTGCCAAAAGTCAGCTGTGTTATTCTCTCTTGTTTACTCACCTGTTGTGTCGTTCTGTTTATATGCTGAATAAACCGAATATAAATGAGTCATATAAATGAATAAACGACTCATACTTTTCAAGTTATTTTACACGCCATCCAAATATAATTTAAGCAATATCAACAATTATTATTTACATGTATTTAAAACTGGTGTACATATATATTTCTTACAATACAATATGGTATTGTAAATGTACCACTTATAAATTTTACAAGATTGAGATTTTCTGACGGAAGGTATTTATCATTGTTCAGTTAATCTCATTAGAGGTTTAGTATTAGGGACAAGTAATATGCCAATTTCAGTAGAACCTAGATAACAAGACTCTCATGGAGATTATTAAATCAGACTTGTTACCAAGGTTGACTTCTTATTGAGGTTTTTAATAACATATGATCAGGGGTAAAATAAAATCAAGGGGATTTGAAAATTACACTTCTTATCAAGGGTAACTTGTTATCGAGGGTCTTCTTATCAAGGTTCTACTGTACTACAAAGTTTAATATGATATACATTTTAAAGGAGTTGATTTACCCTATTTAATATATAAAATCAACAGCTAACCCTTGTATATACTACTCAATGACAATGATCGTGACATTATTTACGTTTCACGACCAATAGACAACCATAATGTGAACTCTCTCTCCCTCTCTGGCCTGTACTCAGTGACTCAGCTATGTAAGTGTGCTATGTTGGTTATAGGTAGTCCCACAGTGAGTGGATGAGTGAGCTGGACTACCCTAATGTAGACTCTCTCTCTGGCCTGTCCTCAGTGACTCAGCTATGTAAGTGTGCTATGTTGGTTCTAGGTGGTTTCCACAGTGAGTGGACTGAGTGAGCTGGACTACCCTAATGTAAACTCTCTCTCTGGCCTTTCCTCAGTGATTCAGCTATGTAAAGGGCTATGTTGGTTATAGGTAGTCCCACAGTGAGTGGATGAGTGAGCTGGACTACCCTAACGTAGACTCTCTCTCTGGCCTGTCCTCAGTGACTCAGCTATATAAGTGTGCTATGTTGGTTCTAGGTGGTTTCCACAGTGAGTGGACTGAGTGAGCTGGACTACCCTAATGTAGACTCTCTCTCTGGCCTGTCCTCAGTGACTCAGCTATATAAGTGTGCTATGTTGGTTATAGGTGGTTTCCACAGTGAGTGGACTGAGTGAGCTGGACTACCCTAATGTAGACTCTCTCTCTGGCCTGTCCTCAGTGACTCAGCTATGTAAGTGTGCTATGTTGGTTCTAGGTGGTTTCCACAGTGAGTGGACTGAGTGAGCTGGACTACCCTAATGTAGACTCTCTCTCTGGCCTGTCCTCAGTGATTCAGCTATGTAAAGGGCTATGTTGGTTTAGGTAGTCCCACAGTGAGTGGATGAGTGAGCTGGACTACCCTAATGTAGACTCTCTCTCTGGCCTGTCCTCAGTGACTCAGCTATATAAGTGTGCTATGTTGGTTCTAGGTGGTTTCCACAGTGAGTGGACTGAGTGAGCTGGACTACCCTAATGTAGACTCTCTCTCTGGCCTGTCCTCAGTGATTCAGCTATGTAAAGGGCTATGTTGGTTATAGGTAGTCCCACAGTGAGTGGACTGAGTGAGCTGGACTACCCTAATGTAAACTCTCTCTCTGGCCTGTCCTCAGTGACTCAGCTATATAAGTGTGCTATGTTGGTTCTAGGTGGTTTCCACAGTGAGTGGACTGAGTGAGCTGGACTACCCTAATGTAGACTCTCTCTCTGGCCTGTCCTCAGTGATTCAGCTATGTAAAGGGCTATGTTGGTTATAGGTAGTCCCACAGTGAGTGGATGAGTGAGCTGGACTACCCTAATGTAGACTCTCTCTCTGGCATGTCCTCAATGATTCAGCTATATAAGTGTGCTATGTTGGTTATTGGTAGTCCCACAGTGAGTGGATGAGTGAGCTGGACTACCCTAATGTAGACTCTCTCTCTGGCCTGTCCTAAGTGACTCAGCTATATAAGTGTGCTATGTTGGTTCTAGGTGGTCCCACAGTGAGTGGACTGAGTGAGCTGGACTACCCTAATGTAGACTCTCTCTCTGGCCTGTCCTCAGTGACTCAGCTATATAAGTGTGCTATGTTGGTTATAGGTAGTCCCACAGGGAGTGGACTGAGTGCGCTGGACTACCCTAATGTAGACTCTCTCTCTGGCCTGTCCTCAGTGACTCAGCTATATAAGTGTGCTATGTTGGTTATAAATAGTCCCACAGTGAGTGGACTGAGTGAGCTGGACTACCCTAATGTAGACTCTCTCTCTGGCCTTTCCTCAGTGACTCAGCTATATAAGTGTGCTATGTTGGTTATAGGTAGTCCCACAGTGAGTGGATGAGTGAGCTGGACTACCCTAATGTAGACTCTCTCTCTGGCCTGTCCTCAGTGACTCAGCTATATAAGTGTGCTATGTTGGTTATAGGTAGTCCCACAGTGAGTGGACCGAGTGAGCTGGACTACCCTAATGTAGACTCTCTCTCTGGCCTTTCCTCAGTGACTCAGCTATATAAGTGTGCTATGTTGGTTATAGGTAGTCCCACAGTGAGTGGATGAGTGAGCTGGACTACCCTAATGTAGACTCTCTCTCTGGCCTGTCCTCAGTGACTCAGCTATATAAGTGTGCTATGTTGGTTATAGGTAGTCCCACAGTGAGTGGACTGAGTGAGCTGGACTACCCTAATGTAGACTCTCTCTCTGGCCTTTCCTCAGTGACTCAGCTATATAAGTGTGCTATGTTGGTTATAGGTAGTCCCACAGTGAGTGGATGAGTGAGCTGGACTACCCTAATGTAGACTCTCTCTCTGGCCTGTCCTCAGTGACTCAGCTATATAAGTGTGCTATGTTGGTTATAGGTAGTCCCACAGTGAGTGGACTGAGTGAGCTTCACTACCCTAATGTAGACTCTCTCTCTGGCCTTTCCTCAGTGACTCAGCTATATAAGTGTGCTATGTTGGTTATAGGTAGTCCCACAGTGAGTGGACTGAGTGAGCTGGACTACCCTAATGCAAACTCTCTCTCTGGCCTGTACTCAGTGATTCAGCTATGTAAAGGGCTATGTTGATTCTAGCTGGTCCCACAGTGAGTGGACTGAGTGAGCTGGACTACCCTAATCTAGACTCTCTCTCTGGCCTTTCCTCAGTGACTCAGCTATATAAGTGTGCTATGTTGGTTATAGGTA